TTCTTGATTTCCTCTCCGGATGTATTCACCATGTTTAGGACTATTAAATTAAACAAGGAATAACAAAAATCCTGACATACATATGAAAATTTTTAAACAGAAGTAAGCAGTTGCTAAGCCCAAGTTAAAATCGTTGTCAACGCCGTTGTTATGGTCGATACTTGCATATTACAGAGTCATTAGAAAGTGATTAACCCGCCCACCCCGTTTGGTATATACAATTTTTTTATTTCACCGAGCGAGCTTGAGACAGAAAAATATTCTAACGAACAGAGAGTTATTACAGATTATATGCAAGATATATCGAAATTTTGTCGTCTGTGGCTCTCTAAAACGTATATCGCCAAAGTCTTTAACAGTCATTAATGGATTACAAGCAAAATTTTAATCTCTTAAGTATTTATTATGGATAGAAAGGGATTATTTATTACATTAAAATCGGGCGCGTGGCTTTGCAAGCAAACGTTTTGCAGAAGATTTCACAAAATACATTTATTACTTCAAAATGCTTTACAAAGTTATACTTCCAATATATATCGTCACTTGTTTAAGACGTTGCACTATCTGGATTCTTCATCGTGGCTGCATTCATCATTGTGGCTGCATTTATCATCCGAGATATTGATATCCTAAGATACTTTTCGAAATCTTAAGACACTGTATGATATCCTGATATATTGATATCCTAATTTATTGATATCCTAAGATATTGATATCCTAAGATATTTATATCCTAAGATATTGATATCCTAAGATACTGTATGACATCCTAAGATACTGTATGATATCCCAAGATACCGTGATATCATAAGAAGCTGTATTGTATGACATCCTAAGATATTAATATACTAAGATATTGATATCCTAAGATATTGATATGCTTAGATATTGATATCCTAAGCTACTGTATGATATCCTAAGATACTGTATGATGTCCTAAGATACTGTATGATATCCTAAGATACTTATGATATCCAAAGAAACTGTATGCTATCCTAAGATACTGTATGATATCCCAAGTTACTGTACGATATCCTAAGATACTGTATGATATCCTAAGATATCAAGTAAGCTCGAATAAATTAACCTGAATGAAAATTAATTTAATTAATTATGACGTCATTGGCGGAGCAAAGCGCCTGCTACGCCTGGCCTAGAACCCCTCTTCCCTAAACTAACTGTTGATATCCTAAGATATTGATATCCTAAAAATATGATATCCTAAGATATTGACATCCTAAGAATATGATATCCTAAGATATTCATATCCTAAGATACTGAGATAAAGAGAACAGAGAAACTGCATTTCTTAAATAGGATTTATAACAAACAGACTTGCAAGGAGGTGATTCCGTGATTGGACGCCCCGAGGGTGGCTGGAAAATTTCGGAAGTCACCGAGCAAAGCGAGGTCAGTTCGAGAAACTTCCGGCTACCCCATGTTCGTCCAATCCCCTACTCATCGAACTTACGCAAACAAAAAAATTAAAAAATAATTAAAAACAGTTACTTTATATATATATATATATATATATATATATATATATATATATATATATATATATATATATATATATATATATATATATATATATATATATATATATATATATATATATATATATATATATATATATATATAGTGAAATGTTGCTGATAACAAGATACAAGTGTTGTATATAGAAAAGGTTTCAATGTGCAACCAAAAGAGACATTTATAATGTAAAATAAAATAAAAGCCACTCAAATTTTGCACAAACGTTTTCGCTTTAATGTTAGCTCCTCAGGTGCATATTTACAATGAGTGGAATTTAGTTTATCTATTATCTACGTTCTATGATATCATATTATAATAACTATGTTAGGAATGCATATATTTACATGGTGTGAAGTCACCCGTTAAAAACATTCTATTGATCTAAATGTAAGCATAAACTTAATGGTTTTTTAATTAGCGTTCAGATCCGGATTCAGTATATTCATAAGTTCTTTTTCTTTCATCTCCCTAAAAAGTCTGTCCGTGTTAATGCATTGATATATAGGCATTATTTTGAAAATTCTGTTGTTACACATATTTAAGTGTTCGCTTACTTTTAGATGTCTATACTCTTCGTGTCGAATTTGTTCCTTGTGCAATGTCACTCTGTTTCGTAAGTTTTCTGTCTGGCCGACGTAGAAGCTGTCGCATTTTGAGCAAATGATCACGTAAATGACATATCTCGCTTTGCAGTTCATCGTCGAATTGACTTTCCAGGTTTTTCCGTTCTTTAATGTAATAGACTTTCCTGTGATTAAAACATTGCATGTTCCACATCGCTTTTCCTCGCATTTTGTTAAACAGTGTTCTCTGTCCTCTGAATTGAATCGTACTTTTGTCAAGTATCGCTTCAAGTTCTTCGGTTGGCGTTTGCTTACAATGAGTTTTGTTCTGTCTAATACTCGTTTCATTTTCTCGGAATTGTTTAGAAATTTAAAGTTCTCCCTTACTTTTCCAATTACTTGAGGATTGTTGGGATTATGAGTTATTACTAAAGGCAAGACATTGTCATCAGTTTTATGTTTTGGAGCCCTCAATTCCTCAATGTTCTTTGATGAAGCCTTCTGTATTCCGTTTTTTATTTATAAGCAATTTCGGATAGTTCTGCTTTTGTAGGAAATATTCTAGTTCATCAAGACGCTTCTTCTTTAAATCTTGATTTGTTACAATTGCACAGATCCGTCTTGCCAGTGTGTAGGGAATGTTTGATTTTGTATGTCCAGGATGACATGAATGATAATCCAGATATTGGTGTGTGTCCGTTTGTTTGTAATGTATATCACTTTCTAACCGTTCCGCGTTTTTGTAGAGTAGTATATCCAAAAACGGTAGTTTCTTATTGTCATATTCCATCGTGAACTGTATTTTTGGATGAAGTGAATTTAACATTTTATGAAGTTCCTCGAGTTCTGCTTCTGTCTTCTGCCAGGGTAGAAAGCAGTCGTCTAAGAAACGTTTAAACAAATTCACGAAGTTTTCTTTTTCGTCCTGTCCATACTTTTCCTTGAACCTTTCGTACAGTTGTGTCTCAATGAAACCCATAGTTAATGTGGCGTACGTTGGGGCCATTTTAGTGCCCATTGCTGTTGCTTGTATTTGTTTAAAATTAATGTCATCAAATTGAAATGTATTCTCCTTTAGGACAATTGAGATGGCCTCCAAAATAAATTCTTTAGGGAGCGGTCGTGGCAATGATTCACGGTGTTTGTCCAACCAATGTTCGATTGCTGTGAGTCCAAGATCATGTGGGATACTTGTATATACAAGCTGATGACGTCGAATGATACCAATATCGTTTTCTCGTTTATATTTGTAGGTATTTTGTTCAGAAAATCCATACTGTCCCGTACAAAACTTGGTACATGTTGGCATAATGGTTTTAAAATCAAATCGACAAGATTGCTTAGTCTATGTGTGGGCGATATAGGTCCAGCTACTATAGGTCTCATCTTTAAGTCCGCTGGTGGTTCCAGTTTGATATAATCATTGTTTTGGTCGGTGACAGCATCTGTTATGGTTTTTGATTTGTGTATTTTCGGTAATCCATAGAAATTTGATGTTTTCATTAGGAAATTTGTGATGTACTCTTTCTCGTTCTCAGTAATATATATATATATATATATATATATATATATATATATATATATATATATATATATATATATATATATATATATGTATATATATATATATATATATTTCCTACAAAAGCAGAACTATCCGAAATTGCTTATAAAAAACGGAATACAGAAGGCTTCATCAAAAAACATTGAGGAATTGAGGGCACCAAAACATAAAACTGATGACAATGTCTTGCCTTTAGTAATAACTCATAATCCCAACAACCCTCAAGTAATTGGAAAAATAAGGGAGAACTTTAAATTTCTAAACAATTCCGAGAAAATGAAACGAGTATTAGACAGAACAAAACTCATTGTAAGCAAACGCCAACCGAAGAACTTGAAGCGATACTTGACAAAAGCACAATTCAATTCAGAGGACAGAGAACACTGCGTAACAAAATGCGAGGAAAAGCGATGTGGAACATGCGATGTTTTAATCACAGGAAAGTCTGTTACATTAAAGAGCGGAAAAACCTGGAAAGTCAATTCAACGATGAACTGCAAAGCGAGATATGTCATTTACATAATCATTTGCTCAAAATGCGACAGCTTCTACGTCGGCCAGACAGAAAACTTACGAAAAAGAGTGACATTGCACAAGGAACAAATTCGACACGAAGAGTATAGACATCTAAAAGTAAGCGAACACTTAAATATGTGTAACAACGGAATTTTCAAAATAATGCCTATATATCAATGCATTAACACGGACAGACTTTTTAGGGAGATGAAAGAAAAAGAACTTATCAATATACTAAATCCGGATCTGAACGCTAATTAAAAAACCATTAAGTTTATGCTTACATTTAGATCAATAGAATGTTTTTAACGGGTGACTTCACACCATGTAAATATATGCATTCCTAACATAGTTATTATAATATGATATCATAGAACGTAGTTAATAGATAAACTAAATTCCACTCATTGTAAATATGCACCTGAGGAGCTAACATTAAAGCGAAAACGTTTGTCCAAAATTTGAGTGGCTTTTATTCTATTTTACGTTATAAATGTCTCTTTTGGTTGCACATTGAAACCTTTTCTATATACAACACTTGTATCTTGTTATCAGCAACATTTCACTATATATATATATATATATATATATATATATATATATATATATATATATATATATATATATATATATATATATATATATATTAAGGTCATTACAGCATCATCAAACCGTTATGCAATAAACGCTTAACTGAGCATTGAAAACTCGGCGTTGACTAATATCACGTAACCAACACAGCAAATATCATGATTATTAGATTACATTGATATCGAAGGAACTAGGCTCAGTTCCGAAATATCACATACTCGAACCAACCTGACCGCGTAGCTCAGTTGGCAGGGCATTAGGCTAGTATTTCAAAGGTCGTAGGTTCGATTCCCACCGTGGTCAGGCATATTTTCCAAGCCTGCCCAATGTGAATATACACTCAGAGTAACCTCACAAGCATTATGTAACTGATATAAGGGTTCTATATGACACAAATAATGTAGTTAAGCAAAAATATGCATTTGTTCCATAACTCCGTCGTTATTATAAATCAGAAGCTGATGATAGATAGAAGTGATTCTATCTATCGACAAATGTGCCCAAATAGGTACTGATTAGCACATTATGAGTCTGAGTAACATCAATGTTCTATAAGTCTAGCCATTTCAAATACATATATCATATATTGTATTATTGGATTATCACCCCTCTCAATATTATGGTCCCAATTTGTGTACTGAAGTCTGTATAATAATTAAGTGTAGTATGCCGCTCGATGCCGATGGCATTTGGACGTACAATCATACCGTTAGAGGCCATAAGGTTTCGAAGTGAAGGCGGCGAGCATGTAGTCATATCCACAACTATTTGTATTTGGAGAGTTATATTCCTTAATATTTCTGTGGCACAAAATATGTGTTAAAACATTGCATGTGCACAAGAAATTCGCCAAAAAAGGACAGGTTTGATCAGCGTTCTTCTGTGACTGTGTGGGGTATCATAGGAACGTTTACATCCGAAACTTACAATAGGTGAAGGGAAAAGATCTTATCCGTTACAGCAGTAACAACACTAACATTATTGTATAGATATCCTGTTGAAACAATCAGGGGACATTGTTATTGGCTTCATTTGTATTTTAAGCAACATTCGAAATTAAATTTCGGTCAGTTGCATATTTTCCTGAGTCAGGGTGCATGGTATATTGGTTTCTCGCTGTGCCCTTCCTACATACAGTTACATGGTAACCACATGACTGAAAAGAATTTTCCTTTGTATTGAATTCCTCTTATTTTATTATAGCCATATGCAATGCCAATGGGGTTAAATAGCCAGTAATTATAACATGCATATTGCACGGGAGTGACAGCCGGTTCGTCAGTTTTGAATTTTGTAACTGTTATTGTTATCAGACCAGGGCCGGATTAACCACGTGACAGATGCGGCATATGCCGCGGGCCTCACGCTTATGGGGGCATCGCGCTTTACTGTACCACGCCCATTTTCACGAGAACACGCCCATTTTCTAATGGGACACGCCCATTTTAGGTGCCTCGCGAATTTAGGGACCTCGCGCATTTAGGGCCACTAGGCTTGGCAGTTGGCCTCAGGAAAATATGCAATACCCGTATGCATGTAATCCCCAGTTGCGCTGATTATAGACACCAATACTTGTGCTAATGTACATTTGATTTGTATGACATTTTGTTAGCTATTTTTGGCTAAGTTAGTCGTTAACGATTTGTTATGTTATCCTGAAAATGTATTTGTAAAGCCCCAATTATATCCAACAAATCGTCGCAATTAATTCAGGTTGTTCAAGCACCCAAATTAGCAAAATATAAAGGTTTCATTGAATCATTGATGTTTGAAACCAGTTTAACGTAACGGAAAATTATTCAGAAATCCTGGTGGAGATAGCTTGGCTGCGAAATTGCAGTAATTTGTGGATAAAATTGAAAACAATTACTTAACAATTTTGTGTGTCTTTGAATTCAAAGGTATTCGTAGTGGAGGGGGGGGGGGATTGGGGCCCCAACTTGGGGGCCTCGCGCTGAACATCTGCCACGGGCCTCGCGCGACGTTTATCCGGCCCTGTATCAGACCATTTAAAACTCATCATAACCATTAGCACGCATACCGACGGTATAGTCGAGTTTGCAAAGACTGAATAGTATCGCATCACAGGCATTGCTATTTGGTAAATGGTCTTTGTATTGTCCTGTGAAGGAATGAATGCCATTCTATAAATGCAATGTTTGTCCTGCAGTCCAGAACAACAGTGATTGCAGCAAATTGACTATGTCTATTATATATGACATATGTGCAAGGTATTTAGCCTATACTATGGCTATGCCATGTTAAACAGATGATTTACAAAATAGGATAGTGCAACTTCCCAATGCCAATGGTGTGTTATTGTTATATGAAACATTGTCATTGAGTACCAGAACGCTTCACTGTTCCAGTCTGGCCCGATTTGTTTGGCTTAAGCGGGGATAGGGTATATTTCCATACATAATGACCAGTGAATATTCGACACTGCTGTTCCGAAAATCAAGGCATACTAATCTTTATACTTTAATACAAATTGCTTTGGCTATTCAAAAAGCCCCCAAGAGGTTAAGATACTGATATCCAATTTTGTTCTCAGGGAACAAGATTAGCCTCCATGCAGATTTGCAGACATCAACCACACTTTCAATTCTAATCAGGAATTGAAATCTGATCCATGGTTAAATAAACAGGTACAAACTGTACAATTCAGTAAATTTCCCCTTGGCCTGGGCAAGTTGTTTGCTTGATGATTCAAACATGGCCACTGGCATCGATTAGCATTTCGATTTTCACTGCCAATATTCCCACATGGGAAGAAGATAATAACCTACTTCAGTCTGACGACTAATCAGGTTACTATACTGAGATAGTAAAAGGGGCTATAATTGCTATAGCATGCATGATGTATACTATTTCCACCAACTGTACCAAGCTGTACAGTGACTGCATTTATGCCAGAAGTGAGTTGATACCAGCCAGTACAAAAATTACTGATATTAACAGTAAACTAAGCTGACTAGCTTTAGTCTTGCCGTGGAAGAACCATTGGAATGAACATTGTGTTATTGTGTGCTCACATTCAAATGAGCAAATATTCATTGTAGGTTGTAGTGTAGCTCAATTTGGACAAGGCCTTTGGCCTTACTACATGTCATGTGATGGCCATCACCCCTGCTGTTGTTGTATCACAGGAAGTGACCAACCAAGTTTAATAAAACTGGTCTGCATTCAGGTCTAGTTTCAACGGTTTTGCTGGCATTTAGCTATGCTATTATATTTATTATATCACACAAGATAAAACTTTAAAAGTATCACAATTGTTTATTCCTTTAGCGTGGTTCTCGTAACATGTACTGATGTACTTCCATGTTTAAATCTCGTGCGTAGCACGTGAATAAATTACTGGCCGCAAAGCACTGGCAATTTCCCGCCAAGTAAACAAAGTATAATGTTCGCTCAGGATAAACTCGAGTATAAAGTATTACGAAAGTGTAAATAAAATGTCGTTCAATCTGAACGCTTTGCAGCAATAAACAATATTATAATATTATTGTAGATTCCATTAGGTAAAGCACAGTGGGTAACGTGATCATTTAATATATGTGTATATACATGCCATGGACTGTATCCACACGGCACACGCCACAAATGACATTTTTATGTCGTTGACACTGGAAAACTCAATTAGTTTCTGCGTTACATGCAGTTGTGTGCATTAAAATAATGGACTAGCTTCCTAGTGGTGTGAAAAAGCACTATGCTATGAAAAAGCACTATGCCATGACCTTGTGGCGCCCAGCACAGCAATGGCGTCTCTTGCCGGTACTTTCCCAAGTTGCTGAAGCAACAATGTGGTCGTTGACCATGTGTACCTTTTGCCTTTACTCGTTAAGGCCATGTTACACGGTGCAATTTTTCTTGCAACTTGCAATGCAATTCTACTCTTGAGAGATGTAAAATTGCCAAATACGAGTCTTTATTACACTCCGCTGATGTTTTCTCAACATATCCAAAATTCTTCACTGATTTCACTAATTGACATCTCTCAAGAGTAGAATTGTATTGCAAGTTGCAAGAAAAATTGCACCGTGTAACATGGCCTTTAGGCTTTGGACAGGGTAGTTGGCGTCCTGTTTCTTGGTTTTATAGGCTTTTCCACAGCCATTGGCTTCTTGTTTCATTGCCCGTTTGATTGGCTTTGTGTGGCCTTTGTTTGGCGTCGTATATTTTGCCCGTTGGACTTTGTATGGCCTTTGTTTGGCCTCGTATATTTTGCCCGTTGGGCTTTGTATGGCCTTTGTTTGGCCTCGTATATTTTGGCCGTTGGGCTTTATATGGCCGTTGGCCTCATATGCCTTGATAAGGCTTTAGTTTCACTTGCACATCTTAGGAGCGGTCTGTATAAACCATAGGTAGCTTTTCCCCATTGTGGGTGTACTGGGTTGCTTATATTTGCCGCTCAACTCTGCAGCACAAGCGTGAATATTGTTTGTGGCTGTCCGCCATATTGTCACCATTTTATATATATTTATTGTCCATTTAATCGTTTATCTAAACGAGAATAAGAAACAAAACCACAAAATAGCAAAATAACAAAACAATATACTCCCTGTTTGCCTTGTGCAAAAATTTTGTTCAACAAACCGATGATAATGAACTATTCTTTACGATTTACTCGCATAAATTTCTTCACGTTGTTTATGCCCAGAAAGACGCAAGCACAAATTGCCTAGATCAGGGCGCTTATATAGTGGGCGGTGCAACGCACTGATGTCGCGCTGATCGATGTGTGATGCGGAAAAGGACTGGCACGAGCGTGCTTTTCGGCAAAAGTTGACAAGGAGCGTGATTTTTCCTGCTGTTGTATCTTCGCTGTTTTTTCATTAACTACGAAATTCTTGAGGATGTTTTTGCACTGTAACGACGAAGTAGTAACTAGTGTATCGTACGAATGCTTGTTTGGCCTGTATAGTTGAATTTTGAAAGGATAATGAGTCGGGCTTTTGATGACTTCAATGAAGGGAAATTTTCAAAACAGCATTTGGGCATGTTTTCAAGTCGTCCAAACTTCGAAATTCAGTTGGTGGTAAAGATTATAATTATGTGCTTATCTCCAAAAGTTTTCATAAGACTCGGAGTTGCGCAATTATTCATACAGCGTTGGAAAGTGAGGTATTTTTGTGTGTTAAATTTTGCCTCGTTAGACCATTATTTCGCTGCAAAAAAATAAACAACAATTGTATTTTGGCCATGTCATGATTTTTTGTTATTATGTTAATAATTTTGTACGACTTTTAAGGCATTCAATTGAAGTAATTCTGAGCCGTAAACATATTTTACTTCTT